ATAGTTGTACTTTCCTCTACCCTACTAACTCCTCTTCTAAAGCTGAGTTAATAGAATAGTTCAGTTGGAAAGGACCTACAATGATCATCTAGTCCAAATTAATTTACTTCAAAAGTTGCCATGAGCACAGATTTTCTTGACAAAGAGGGAATGCAGAGAGAGGATATGAACAGCTCTTGATAGGGCTTGTTTTAATAAAATAGTGCTTGGGAGTCTGAATGGCTTGTCCAAGCTGCTGGAGATTTTAGTGGCCCAGATAAAGTTTTCATCAAGCACGTAAGTGCAGAAGTCTCTGGCTTTCTCTGCTTTTTTAGTAAAAATACCCAAACAACCCCAAAAAGCACTCAGACCTGTTACTCCCTGAACCTCCACTGGTTGAAATTGAGTCAGCTGTGTGCTAGATATGATTTATTTGTCTGTCCATTGGCATATTGAAGCCATGTGCCACATCATGCTTTTGTCCAGCTGACCAAGGAGCCACCATCAGCATAAAACTCTCCTGTCCCTGCCGGGTTACATGCCAGCATAGCAACACAGGGCTCTTTGATGTTATTTTCAGGAACACGCAGGCTGTGGGTTGGGAAGAGGAACACGGTGGAGGAAGGGACTCAGCTTATGGTTGGGTGTTTGCAACTGCAGAGCCAAAAAACTCTTACATGCACTCAGGAGCCTAGAATCTCAAAAGCCGGTGTCGACAGGAGCATAATGTCCCCACTGACAACATTTTTTGTGTTAAGTGATGGTAACAAGGAAATATGCTGTAGCACTGCTTTAATGGTCATATCTCACACCCTACATGGGACAGATTTTGTTTTCTGAAGCTGCCAACTCAGCAAAAGATAGGCAATTTCTGGGTTCAGCTCCGTTTTTCCTCTTAGAGATGGTGCTACGTACTGCCATGGTGGACATCTCACTGCCTCTTTTGTCCTGGGTTAGCATTGCTCTCTCTGAAGTTGGGTTCATGTTGGACTCTGCAGTTTCTATGGCACTGCAGCTGAACATCTGAATCAGACACTTCCTGAACTAGAAAGTTGAAAAAAATGAGATCAATCAAAACATAAGAAATTTTAAAATATCTCTATAAAGCAGTCTGTGTCTTAGCTAAAACTCTTGGAAATTCTCTCATGAGTCAGTTGGTAATATAAAGAAATAGCCCCATAAAATATATTTGCCTGTGCCACCATGAAGAACTCCAAAACTGAGAAATAATCACATTCTAAAAAGACCCAGACTACTGGAAAATCTATTCTAAAAACTAATTTTCCTCTTCTGCTTGTTACTAACCACATCTAATGGACAGAATTGGTCATTTCTCCAGGAGCATGAGTTGTTTTCATATGCTAATACCCAGCTGTTCAAAGATGGTTTGTTTCCATGTTGTTCATATCCAAGAGCAGGGTAAAATCAGCATACATCTGCCATGCATTGGGAGATCAGGGCACTGTCCACAGGGTGTGAGACAAGCAATAGCTGTCTCTGAGGGACTGAATAAATACATGTATTTATCACCTTTTATTCAACAGTTACTTTACTATTTTTCTTCTTGTCACTTTTATGCTTATACTCTGCTTGATGCCATCACTCTCACTAGCCACATTCATTGCATAAACCTGTTCAAGTCTATTGTTGTGCCTGTTACCACAGTGAGGGCACATCACTCTGTTTCACTCCCTTGTCAATTCTTCTCCTCTGCATCCAACCCTCTGCCCCAGGCCAGAGAAGAAAGCTCCCTGTCCCAAAGGCACAGTGCTTCTACCCTCCCTGTACATACAACCACAAATGCAGCATTTCCCCTGACACAAATTCAAGCTATTGAAAACTTCCACCTCACCTCAAAATCAACTCACTGGTGTTGCACTCCTGAATAATTATAAAAATTTACTGGGACAGCCTTGAAAATAGAATTTTCATACAGAAAACTAACTGAAGTTCACTAAGGGCTGATTTTCCTTTATACTATCTAAACCTAATAGGTATTAATGTTCATATTTTGATAACGCACAGAGGCTTACACTATCTCCCAGTAGGCAGATATATAGTGATTTTTTTTTTTTAGTTCTAAATGTTGGATATCACAGTGCTAGTTAACTATCATGTAAGTCGGTAGAAATAATTCATTAGAAGGCAAGACAAAATAACAAAGTACCAGTGTTAAAGACACTTTGAGAGCATACATTACCTGTTTGTTCATAAAGACATAAATAATTGGATTATAAACAGTAGCTGTTTTGGAAAAGAAAGCTGGAACTGCTGCCAGGCGAGGATCCAGCTGAATGGAGGGGTATGCAGTGACTAGGACAGAAAAGGCGGCGTATGGTGTCCAGCAGATTAGGAAGGCAATGATCATAACAACCACCATTCTAGTCACTTGTCTTTCAGGTTTCCTGGTAGTTCCCAGCCTGCCTTGTGTATCTGACACCTTTAAAGAAAAGACAGAAGATTCTAGAAAACCAACAACAAGGCCTCCAACCAGTGAACTGAGTGAGCAGGCTGATAATCTGCCACACTGGAAGGGAACACCTACTCCTCTTGAGTACGACAGCACATAAGGATGCTGTTACTGGCCCGCAGGGTGTCAATGTCACTGCTGAGGGACATGAATTACTGTATACTGTCATTACTAATTTTTCCTTTGCTTAAGTATCTTTACATTTTTTATTGTTGGAGTGAGAGCAAAAAGTAACTGCCAGGGCAATCTCTGTGTAGAAATCGCATTGGAGCCTGGCAGGACTGCAGCCTGTGGGGATGTTCCCAGCCAGTTTCAGCGCAGTCACGAGCAGCGGAGCGGTGGCACAGGTTTGCTGTACTGCTTTACAAAAGTTAACCTAGCTCAGGTGACTTCATGAGTGCTTCAGCAGCCCACCCCAAGGCAGTGCAGAAATGCCTTTAAATTCCACCTGTGAGAAAAGTAATCCAAATTATTTCTGTCAAATGAGAGACAAGATTTGGCCTCTATTTAGAATGCCAAATAACAGAATATAGTGACCTGGACAGAATGAGCAACTGGCAGTGTCTGGTAACAATAGGTGACCTCTAAAAATATGAAACAGAAAATAGGGGCTACATTTTTGGGTGATACAACTTGCCATACATCACTAACTTCAGTGGAGCTGCCTCAGCTTACGGCAGCTCTGGCTCTGCACAAAGCCTAATGAAACCCGACTGTTCGGCATGCAGGAGAGCCAACGAGAGAGCACTGTGTCTGTGCTGGTAGCAGCAGTACCCATCCCTTCTCCTTTTCTGGTCTTTTTGTGAAATGCATTTGCTGCCGTCCTGACAAACCAGTTCATGTACAGCAAAATATAATGAAAAGCACAATTCCATAAGAAGGCAAATATGAGAAGCAAATACACCTTTGGACCAGCCTTACAGCCAACCAACTTTAATCTTACCTACAAAACTGTCTTTTGCACCAGTCAGCCAAGGCACAGCATTGTCCTTATGAGATCTTTTTACAAATCTCAGCAGTTTCAAATTTCTTCCAGGTTCTCATTCGGGCCACAGCCAGGGGCTGGCTTTAATTAAAAGCTCTTGCCGTGGACCACAGATTTTCCTCTGCCAGAAATTTGGAAAGACATCCACACAGCTGCTGTGGTCAGCATCAGCAGAAGGGAATAACTC